TGTAGAATGAGATACTTGAGCTGCTACACTCTGATATACTAGAACTGCTAGGGTTGATACTTGATCGACTTGAAACTGAACCTGAAGATGAAACGTGAATGCAACAATGACAGTATCAAGCATTTTACATGTCTATACACTCATAAACTGAAAAATCAAAATGATATAACTACAAGTATATATGGTGTCTGATTTTGGTTCTAAGTCTCCTGAACTGATGCAGTTCAAGGAACTGAATAAACTCAAACTACTGGAGCTACTGAAACTCTGACTACTTGAGCAGCTGTAGAATGAGATACTTGAGCTGCTACACTCTGATATGCTACAACAGCTTGGGTTGATACTTGATCCACTTGAAATTGAACCTGAAGACAAAGCACTATTCTTTCATATATACTTTGCATATCTATACACTCATGCACTGGAAAAGCAAAATGATATAACTACAAGTATATATGGTGTCTGATTTTGGTTCTAAGTCTCCTGAACTGATGCAGTTCAAGGAACTGAATAAACTCAAACTACTGGAGCTACTGAAACTCTGACTACTTGAGCAGCTGTAGAATGAGATACTTGAGCTGCTACACTCTGATATGCTACAACAGCTTGGGTTGATACTTGATCCACTTGAAATTGAACCTGAAGACAAAGCACTATTCTTTCATATATACTTTGCATATCTATACACTCATGCACTGGAAAAGAAAAGCAAAATGATATAACTACAAGTATATATGGTGTCTGATTTTGGTTCTAAGTCTCCTGAACTGATGCAGTTCAAGGAACTGAATAAACTCAAACTACTGGAACAACTCAGGCTACTTAAGCAACTGCAGAATGAAATACTGGAGCTGCTTGACTCTGATATGCGAGAACTGCTAGAGATAATATTTGATGAACTTGAAATTGAACCTGAAGACAAAAATCAATTGAAAATGCTAGTAAGCATCAAGGACAAAGGCGACAAAATGCGACAAAAGAACATTTACTTTTTATGCTGACACTTGAAGAACAAGATACGGAAGAGGTGCTGGATCCACTGTTTGATCTTGATCTTATTTCTCCTGAACTCACAGAACTTAATAAACTCAAACTACTGGAGCTACTGAAACTCTGACTACTTGAGCAGCTGTAGAATGAGATACTTGAGCTGCTACACTCTGATATGCTACAACAGCTAGGGTTGATACTTGATCCACTTGAAACTGAACCTGAAGATGAAACGTGAATGCAACAATGACAGTATCAAGCATTTTACATGTCTATACACTCATAAACTGAAAAATCAAAATGATATAACTGCACTACTAATATTTACTTTTTATGCTGATACTTGAAGAACAAGATAGGGATGAGATACTGGATTTGCTGTTTGATGTTGGTTCCAATTCCCCTGGACTGATGCAGCTTGAACTCAAGGAACTAAATAAACTCAAACTACTGGAACAACTCAGGCTACTTAAGCAACTGCAGAATGAGATACTTGAGCTGCTACACTCTGATATACTAGAACTGCTACAGCTAATACTTGATCCACTTGATATTGAACCTGAAGACAAAATCAATTGAAAATGCTAGTAATGATCAAGGACAAAGGTTCAAACCACAAATCAAAATGTAAACATTTCACTGACAATACCTTTTTCATCAGTGCCTCTTAGGTGTTCAAAAGTATAATGTGCCATGATTTTAATACAAACTATTATCCGGGTAACAATTGATAAAAAAGTAAGGAAGAATACAGTTAAAAATATTTTCAGCTTCACTAAATTAATGTAATAAATTAAGATAGTTGTGACTATTGCATTGGTATCACATTTCTAATTACAAAGACGAAAAGGAACATTACTTAGAATAGCCCTTGAACATGAAGATGGAGCTACACTACTGGCAGTGCTACTTGATTCAGAGCTCAAACTACTCTCTAAGTTGCTGATAGAGCTTGGAGTGATAGATGGAATGATGCTTGAACTTATGCTACTGAAGATTGAGATTGAGTTATTTGAATCACTGGAGCACGGAAGGACTGAATAACTTGGACTAAGACTTGAAATACCTGAAGCTGAACCTAAGGATTGAAATTGAAGAGCTATGATAAAAAAAAAAAAATCATAAACCTACAAATAAGTCATTTCACTATGAAAATATATTCTGAAATTAGATGGAAGACCATCACATTCTAAGAACATTAATGATGCATTATAGTTTAAATACTAAATTATTCAGATGTAACAGTATAAATGCGACAAAAGAACATTTACTTTTTATGCTGACACTTGAAGAACAAGATAAGGAAGAGGTGCTGGACCCACTGTTTGATCTTGATCTTATTTCTCCTGAACTTACAGAACTGAATAAACTCAAACTACTGGAGCTACTGAAACTCTGACTACTTGAGCAGCTGTAGAATGAGATACTTGAGCTGCTAGACTCTGATATGCGAGAACAACTAGGGTTAATACTTGATCCACTTGAAACTGAACCTGAAGATGAAAAGTGAAAGCAACAATGCCAGTATGTATCAAATATTTTACATATTTATACACTCATAAACTGGAAAAGCAAAATGATATAACTACACTACTAATATTTACTTTTTATGCTGACACTTGTAGAACAAGATAGGGATGAGATACTGGATTTGCTGTTTGATGTTGGTTCCAATTCCCCTGGACTGATGCAGCTTGAACTCAAGGAACTGAATAAACCCAAACTATTGGAACTCAGGCTACTTATGCAACTGTAGAATGAGATACTTGAGCTGCTAGACTCAGATATACTACTAGAGCTAATACTTGATCCACTTGAAATTGAACCTGAAGACAAAAATCATTTGAAAATGCTAGTAAGCGTCAAGGACATAGGCTCAAACCACAAATCAAAATTAATCATTTAATTGAGAATCCGTTTTTTCATCAGTGTCTCTTAGGTGTTCAAAAGTATAATGTGCCATGATTGTAATACAAACTATTATCCATGTAACAAATGATCAAACAGTAAGGAAGAATACAGTTAAAAATATTTCCAGCTTCACTAAATGAATGTATTAAATCAAGATATTTGTGATTGTTGTATTGGTATCACATTTCTTATTACAAAGACGAAAAGGAGCACAGAAGGACTGAATAACTTGGACTAAGACTTGGAATACCTGAAGCTGAACCTAAGGATTGAAAATGAAGATCTATAATAAAAAAGATCATTCATAAACCTACTCAGAACATAATGATGCATTATCGTTTAAATAGTTTAGGTGTAACAGTATAAGTGTGACAAAAGAACATTTACTTTTTATGCTGACACTTGAAGAACAACATAAGAAAGCGGTGCTGGATCCACTGTCTGATTTTGATCCTATTTTTCCTGAACTCACAGAACTAAATAAACTCAAACTACTGGAGCTACTGAAACTCTGACTACTTGAGCAGCTGTAGAATGAGATACTTGAGCTGCTAGACTCTGATTTGCTAGAACAGCTAGGGTTAATATTTGATCCACTTGAAAATGAACCTGAAGATGAAAAGTGAATGCAACAATGCCAGTATGTATAAAAAAAATTACATATCTATACACTCATAAACTGAAGAAGCAAAATTATATAACTACACTACTAATATTTACTTTTTATGCTGACACTTGAAGAACAAGATAAGGATGAGATGCTGAATTTGCTGTCTGATCTTGGTGCTAAGTCCCTTGAACTGATGCAGCTTGAACTCATAGAACTGAATAAACTCAAACTACTGGAACAACTGAAATGCAGGCTACTTGAACAACTGTAGAATGATATACTTGAGCAGCTACACTCTGATATACTAGAACAGCTAGAGCTAATACTTGATCCACTTGGAACTGAACCTGAAGATGAAAAAGGAATTCAAAATGCTAGTATACATCAAGGAATGAGGTTCAAACTACAAATTAAAGTGCATATACTTCATCAGGAATAAAATTCTAATAAAAAAATATCTCTAATGTGTTGAAAGACATAGTGCACGTAAATTAAGAACTTAAACTTCTGTGTTGCAATTAATGAAAATATCATCAGGCTAGTAAATAATGACAAAGAAAAGGAGAATACAGTTAAAGACCATGTATTAACCTTCACTAAAATAATATTGTAAAACTAAGACTTGAAATGCCTGAAGCTGTAACTAAAAGGTTGAAAATGAAAAGCCATGATAAAGAAAGTTATCTAGACTCTATGTCACATGCACCATGGGAACAGACAAGGCTTAACTCTTGAGACCCTTCAAACTGAACATGGATAAAGAAATCGTTTTACTTTTGAGAGCTGAGTATTTAAATAGACGTGTATAAGGAGTATGGTAAGATATAAAGAGGTGGCGTTTATGAAAAAACATCAGATATTCATAAGACTGTGGATTATTTATATATATATTTGATATATCATAGTCTTCCTGAAACTTCAATATACAGTGCTAGAACAGTAATATAATAAATTGGCTAAATATCTATAACCTGAACTATATTATCTACTGTAGACCAGTATAATCGAACCTCTTTAGCTTGAACTACTAGACAGGTCTAATCTGTCATATATGACCCATGCAAACTTGAATCTGTAGGCAACGTCATAATGGAAAATGACAAGGCGAGTTATATGCAGTATGTGACTGCTGAAATTAAAGATTTTCTTCGTTCATATCTTCTACAATGTGCTAGATGAAATAATTGTTCTGTACTCATACCAGATATTTCATTTTTACAATGATGGCTTCACTTGCTTCGTAATGCATAAATTTCAATATAATGCATGACTACATCATCTACTTGCCTTCTTAGAATTGCCCGGTCTTGAATTCTTTCATAGTGTTCTGCATATCAAATACTAATGCTTACCTGCATGTAAAATACTTTTTGGTGATAACTGCCTCGGTATATTACTTGCCTGGGCAGCACTTCAGAAGTAATTTCGCTTTGTAGATAATCAAACAAATAAGTGAAATAATATATATTCTTATCTACTATGGACTTACTGCTAGAACTTGAACTACTTGAACTGGAGCTACTAGAGCTTGAGCTGCTTGAACTGGAACTGCTAGAACTTGAACTGCTTGAACTGGAACTACTAGAGCTTGAACTAGAGCTACTTGAACTCGAACTGCTTGAACTTGAACTGGAGCTTGAACCTAAGAATACATTGATAGGGAAAAAATCATAAGGGTGTCTCTGGTAAAGAAAGCAAATAAACGTCTATATATTATTATTATATATATAAACGAATAGAAAAAGCAAAACAATTAATGCACCTGCAAGGTTTAAGTATGATTATGGGATATACATGACACTTATAAAAAAAAAAACTTCTTTATACATAATTTAGTAAGGGGAGAAATTTTCTATGGCAACTGCCACCTATTCAATTACTGAATGCAGAAAACACAGAACACTACGATGGTGGACTTCATTACTGGACTTGCTGCTACAGCTTGAGCTGGAATTACTGCAGCTTGAACGACTTGAATTTGAAATCCTTGAACCACAACTACTAGAACTTGAACTAAAAATATGAAAACATGAACTCTGTGAAGCTACGACAAAGAAAACCAAAATTCAATGTAATGCATAATTCTAAATAGTGGACTTACTGCTAGAACTTGAACTGCTTGAGCTGGAACTAGAGCTTGAACTACTTGAACTGGAACTACTAGAGCTTGAACTACTTGAACTGGAACTACTAGAGCTTGAACTACTTGAACTTGAGCTAGAGCTACTTGAACTGGAACTGCTTGAACTTGAACCTATGGATACATTGAGAAAGGAAAAATAATTCTGTAATAGAATAGTTAGCATTTACTGTAAAGAAACCAAGTGAAAACCAGATATCGATGTTAATACCTCAAGCATTAAAACAAATTATTATTATTAGTTATCAGTGTAATATAAACCGTTTTTTGGTAACACCCAAAAAATATTATGATAAAATGGTAGTGTGAATGTTTTTTTTTTTCCACAAAAAAAAAATATTTAATACAAGGTTTATAAAGACTTACTGCTTGAACTGGAACTACTAGAACTTGAACTGCTTGAACTAGAACTTGAACTGGAACTACTAGAGCTACTTGAGCTGGAGCTACTAGAACTTGAACTAGAACTGCTTGAACTTGAACTAGAGCTACTTGAACTGGAACTGCTTGAACTTGAACTAGAGCTACTTGAACTGGAACTGCTTGAGCCTATAAGTTCACAGATTATATATCTTTAATCCTGTATCAGAAGAGATCATTAGTCACAGATGAAAAGTTAAAGGATTTTGTTTATGATATAGGAAGAATAAAAATACAACATACACCTTAAAAATGCATAAGAAATCAATTGTAGAAGAGGTAGTCTTAGATATGAAATATACACCACATATGAAGTAAAAGATTTTCAAACAAAGTTCTTAGAAAAGTTATTTATAGTTTCTTTCTTATTTTCCTTCTCAGGTGTCGATTTGTTTCTGTAGAGTAATGATAAAAAATGTGCTTCTTTGACGAAAAAAAGTTATATATGGTTACAGTTTGTATAGACTTACTGCTAGAACTTGAACTGCTTGAGCTGGAACTACTAGAGCTTGAGCTGCTTGAACTTGAACTACTTGAGCTTGAACTACTTGAACTGGAACTACTAGAACTAGAGCTACTTGAGCTAGAGCTTGAACCTATGAATACACAGATTATTTTTTTATCTTGTATCAGGGGAAGAAATAGGAAAATAATTTGGAACTGAGGAGTGAAAAAATTACCAAGAAAAAAATAATCACATGAACATAAATCCTTCACAATAAATCCTGGATCTATTATATATATAAATAATTAGTAATCTATTCTCTGGTGGCCCTAAATGGGTTAGGCCTATGTCTCCCCATCTGAATAAATAAATTATAAATGGTCCCAGCATAACTTACTAGAACTTGAACTGCTTGAGCTAGAGCTTGAGCTTGAGCTGCTTGAACTGGAACTACTAGAGCTTGAACTGGAACTACTTGAGCTAGAGCTACTTGAACTGGAACTGCTTGAGCTGGAGCTTGAACCTATGGATGTATAAATTTTAAATAACTCGGTTCTTTGTTGGCAAGAGGCAGATTGTTTTGAAACTGAAGATCTTGGGAAAATACAAATAAATGGTATTCAACAAGGAAACACCAAGGATCACTGTCAATCGTGTATATATATAAAAAAAGAATGCAATATCTATGAAGTCTTTTTAAAGGACAATGGCAAAATGATACACTCTGAAACTAGAACTAAGGTTAATTCATGGTGTCAGGCTGTGCAGACTTACTGCTGGAGCTAGAGCTGCTAGAACTTGAACTGCTAGAGCTTGAACTGGAACTACTTGAGCTAGAGCTTGAACTGGAACTACTTGAACTTGAGCTAGAGCTTGAACTGGAACTACTTGAACTTGAGCTAGAGCTTGAACTGGAACTACTTGAACTTGAGCTAGAGCTTGAACTGGAACTACTTGAACTTGAGCTAGAGCTTGAACCTATGAATACACGGATTATGAATTAGATTTAAAACTGCATCAAAGAAAGATACATGACAAAAGAAGTTAGACTATAAGTAGATCTAAAGTGAAGGATGAGGTTTTCTTGTGAAGAGGCACATCATTTACCAAATACAATCACACCAAGGATTTAATTTTGATAATACCAGGAGTACTGGTTAAATGACATGCAACAGTTAGTCCTTGTTAGTGAAAACTTACTACTACAACTTGAACTGCTTGAACTAGAACTACTAGAGCTTGAGCTGGAACTACTAGAGCTTGAGCTGGAACTACTAGAGCTTGAGCTGGAACTACTAGAGCTTGAGCTGGAACTACTAGAGCTTGAGCTGCTTGAACTGGAACTACTAGAGCTTGAGCTGCTTGAACTGGAACTACTAGAGCTTGAGCTACTGGAGCTTGAACCTAGGGGAATATAGATTTTTAAGAATTATCCTGCATTAGAGGAATTACAAAATTTTGATTTTGGAGTTCTTGCTAAGCAGAAAAATAATAAATGAATTTCTTTAACAAATATAATGTCAGGATAATCAAAACTGTTATATTTAAGAAATCCAGTCTTGATACTATTATACTGTATATATGTTCTCTGACATTTATAATAAATTTAAACTTGTATCCTTTTGAAAGCACCTGTTAAGTAAATGATATAGGAAAAGTATAGGCCTTTTAGGTAGTGGTCTTAGGTAGTGCAGACTTACTGCAGGAACTTACTGCAGGAGTTAATACAGCTTAAACTGGAACTACTTGAACAAGATCATCGATAATAGATAGAAAGAAAGCTAGCAAAGACAGGAACAATTGTGGATTAGATTAGAATATATACATAATAAACTTTGAAGGATTAGGAAGCATCAGTCTTTGCTGGGGATAAATGTATTTCAACTGTGCCTGAAATACTAGATAAATGATTATAATCATAAGATGCAATTGCAGACTTACTGCTAGAACTTGAACTGGAGCTACTAGAGCTTGAACTGCTTGAACTGGAGCTACTCGAACTTGAACTGCTTGAACTGGAACTACTTGAGCTACTTGAACTGCTTGAACTGGAGCTACTCGAACTTGAACTGCTTGAACTGGAGCTACTCGAACTTGAACTGCTTGAACTGGAACTACTTGAGCTACTTGAACTGCTTGAACTGGAGCTACTAGAAGAGCTAGAGCTACTTGAACTACTTGAACTAGAACTGCTAGAGCTACTTGAACTGGAACTTGAACCTATGGATACAATATAGCTATAATTTAGCATGTTTTATATGACACAATGAGTAATTAGATGAATTGCCATTCAATGTATTTTATTTTACCAATGTTTGGAAAGAAACATTTGGAAATTGATAACTCAACGCAAACTTTGAATATAACATCAGAGTAATGCCTTTAGTAAAGGGTGAACAGACACAAAGAAAAAACAGATAACCCCTCAAAATAAGATACATAACAATGCAGAGAATGAGTAATATTTGAAAAACATGAACAAAAATTATTATGCCTCTAGAAACTATTTGATCACAGCAAATATAGACCTACTGCTTAAATTTGAATTGTATGAGATTGAGCTATTACAACATGAACTACAGGGGAAAAGAATACTATATGGGATTATTGATTAAAAAAAAAAAAAAAAAAAATACTGCATAGCCTTTGTTTAGACAAACTGATTGAACTAGTACCTAAGACAGCTTGAAACTGAAATACTAGTACTCGAATTATTTCAGCTTGAGCTGCTAGAACAACTTGAACATGAACAGATTGAACTTGAACTTGAGATATGAACATATGCTATAGAGAAAACAGAAAATCTACCAATATTTACTCCAGATTTCATTTTAGACTGATAAAAGTCAGTTACTAGTTATTGGGAATGCAATTTAGCAGAGCCTAGAAACAATTTCATGTATAAATACAGACACCATAAGTAATTTGCATGAGGAGTAACATCGTTATACAATGTAAAAAAAAAAAAAAAAAAAAAAAAGATGTATCATGCAGAAGCTTCAATGATATGCAGTCAACACTGCCATAAAGAAGTTTTCTTGACATCACAAAAACTAGTGGCTAAACTTCGTGTAGTAAATAAAAAGTGGTTATTAGCTGATCAATATACCTACAATACTAACGAAGACAATTATAAGAGGAGATTAAGGCATAGTAAATAGTCTAAGTTTAGACTTGCTGTTAGAACTTGAACTATAGCTACTTGAACTTGAGCTACTGGAGCTAGAACTGCTTGAACTTTAGCTTCAGCCTTTAAATATATAGACTATAGTTAACAAAATGAATTTTACCTCTTATCAGATAAAAAAGGAGAGAAGAATTTAGAGAAAACAAATCTATTGTGTGGAGAAGATTCTATTTCTTAGTTATTGATTATGCTTCCCTGTGTAAAGAAAACCAGATTGTAAGAAATGGCCTTAACTTGTGAAGCCTTACTGCTTACTGCAATGTGAATTATTTGAGCCTATTGAAAAGGGAACTTTAGCTATTAGATTTTGAACATGATTTGGATCTGATTCAATTACTTGAACTTGCGGAGAGAAATGAACTAACTCTTTTTTGTCTTTATTACTATTAAAAGAATATCATACTCATGAAATATTGTTTTGGTTAGTCCAAGCATACTGCTTGAGTAGCTGGAGCTAGAACTTCTCGAGCTTGAACTACATGAACTGCATGAGCATAGGTTGAACCTATGAATATACAATCAGATTTTATAATTCCAGTTTCTTTTATAGAATCTGGTAAAACAAAATCTACTGATGACCTGAAAAGATTCCACTTTCACAGCAGTCTTACCAAATCATTGATAAGACCTAAATCCCAAGAGAGGATGTAATAAATGGACTACACTTTCAAAGACTTACTGCTTGAACTGGAGCTACTTGAACTTGAGCAGCTTGAACTGGAACTACTAGAACTTGAACTTGAACTAGAACTACTTGAACTGCTTGAACTTGAGCTGGAGCTTGAACCTATGAACAAAGGTTATAACTGACAATTTTTTTATCTGTGCTGTATCTACAATGAGAATATTTTTCACTTGCAGGGAAAAGTATTGCAAAGAACACTCAGGCCATTGTAATTCCAAACTTACTGCTGCAACTTGAACTACTTGAGCTGGAGCTGCTTGAGCTAGAGCTACTTGAGCTTGAGCTACTTGAGCTTGAGCTACTTGAGCTTGAGCTACTAGAACTTGAACTACTAGAGCTTGAGCTGCTTGAACCTATGAAAAAGATGCATAAATAGCTAACAGTTATACTTGTTTTAGTGATGAGAGAGATGACCTCGTATTTACCGTTTAAAATGCCAGCTGAACCTAATCCTTTTGTATATTGTTTTATATCTAGAATGAAAATTATTAATACTTATTAATAGTATTTGATCCTAACAGGTACAGACTTACTGCTAGAACATGAACTGACTGAGCAGTAGCTACTAGAACTTGGGCTACTAGAGCTTGAGCTGGAACTACTTGAACTAGAATTTGAACCTATGTATACATAGATTATAATTAACTATCTATCTTTTAGTTTAAGATAGAAAGATGAACTGAAGGATGAATATTACTGAAAAGAATAATCTACACATCTTTTGGGGCTACTAAAGAGTTTATTTGGTTGAAATGCATGGCCATAGCTTGAGGTTATACCTGACAAGTTCAGTTACTTTAACAGAGAAAAGAGATTTTTTTTTTTTTTTTTTTTTTTAAGGATACGCTAGTCTATTCAAGTTTTCCTGCCAAGAGAATGATAATTGATCTTAGCAAGCTCTGACTTACTGCTAGAACTTGAGCTGGAGCTAGAGCTTGAACTGGAGCTACTAGAGCTTGAACTACTTGAACTGGAGCTACTAGAGCTTGAACTACTTGAACTGGAGCTACTAGAGCTTGAACTACTTGAACTGGAGCTACTAGAGCTTGAACTGGAGCTACTTGAGCTTGAACTGGAGCTACTAGAGCTTGAACTGGAGCTACTTGAGCTTGAACTGGAGCTACTAGAGCTTGAACTGGAGCTACTTGAGCTTGAACTGGAGCTACTAGAGCTTGAACTGGAGCTACTTGAGCTTGAACTGGAGCTGCTGGAGCTGGAGCTACTGGAACTGCTTGAACTAGAACTTGAACCTATGAATATATAAGAGTGATATAAAATTTCTAGAACTTCTTTCATTCTGTAAATGAAAATAAGATAAAGAAAAATATCTTTAAAACATTATTGTTCTTACACATGGACTTAGTAAAAACTTATTGCTTGAACAAGTACTAAAACCTGCCAGTAGAGTAGATAATCAAGAATGTTCTTCGGTCTATTTACTCTACGTGTAATCATAACTATTAGAATTATAGGCATTAGAATTAGACTTCTTTCAGAGAATATAGTCTCAGTATATCTAAACTTGCTGCTTGAACTTAAACTGCTTAAACCTGTGGATGGAGGATATAACCTATAATGAAGAGTATAGAAGACCTGGGAGGGCAAGACTTAATACTTGAGCTAATTAAACTATAACTACTATAAAATGAACTAGAACTGCTTGAATTAGTAGTTTGATTATAATGAATATAATTAACTCTTACCGTTACCATTACTGGGTTATTTATGAGAATTATGCATCTACAAAGAGAAAAGAAACCAAATTTGGTATTTATGACCCTTGCTTATAGACTTACTACTTGACCTGTAGCTACTAAAACATGAACTGCTTGAAAAAGAAGTTCTATAAGAGCTTGAACATGAAATAGACCTACTTGAACTGGAACCTGAGCTTCTGAATAATGGTTAAAATTAAAAAATTGATTTCGTGAAGAGAAAGATATCAATTTACTGTATCTGCAATTAGAACTTCGTTGAAATGATGACCTTTAAACTGGAGTACTACTATCTTTGAAGGATATGCTTTATTTAGAGTGAAAAGTATTGTTTCCTGTCAAGAAATCATAAGATCTGGGATATTATTTGGTCTTAGCTAGTTATGACTTACTGCTAGAACTTGAACTGCTTGAACTCGAACTACTAGAACTTGAGCTTGAGCTACTAGAACTGGAACTACTTGAGCTTGAGCTTGAGCTACTAGAACTGGAGCTGCTTGAGCTGGAACTACTAGAGCTTGAGCTGGAGCTACTAGAACTCGAGCTGCTTGAGCTTGAACTACTAGAACTGGAACTACTTGAGCTTGAGCTGCTAGAGCTGGAACTGCTTGAGCTTGAACTGCTTGAACTAGAACTACTAGAACTTGAACTGGAACTGCTTGAGCTTGAACCTATGTGTTTAAAATGTATGATTAGTTTTCTATAATCTGTTATTCTAGATTCACAGTGGGGAATAATAAAAATGTGTAAAAATCATTATCATTATACTGAAGATCTATTTTCATGACAATCCTTCTATTGCCCTGGCTAATGAAAACTTACTACTTGAACTAGAACTACTAGAACTTGAGCTGCTTGAGCTTGAACTGCTTGAACTTGAACTACTTGAGCTTGAGCTGCTTGAGCTTGAACTGCTTGAACTTGAACTAGAGCTGCTTGAACCTATGAAAAGTGATTATTTTACTTTTTTGGTTTAATTGAATAAGAAATAAAAACAGTAACTAAGATAAAGAGATGGTAGATTCTTCGAATATCTTAAAGATTAGGGTTATAAGTTTTCCTGTCTGAAGAAGAGGAAGCAATATTATTAAAGGGTGACAATTATTATGCATCATGTAAAGAAAATAAGACACTTGGGAATCTTTTATAGTCTGTTCAAAAAAAAAAAAAAAAAAAAAAAAACTTAAATTGTCATCTTAGTAGTGCAGACTTACTGCTAGAACTTGAACTACTTGAGCTTGAGCTAGAGCTAGAACTTGAGCTGGAACTACTTGAACTAGAACTTGAGCTGGAACTAGAACTTGAACTGGAACTGCTTGAACTTGAACTAGAACTTGAACCTATATAGATATAAATTTTATTTAACTTCTGATATTTTATCATTAAAGATATTAAGGAGAGGAAACGATATTGATAAGAATATAAAATAACAGGCATAAAGAATCATCAGTGCACAAAAAAAACAAAAAAACAAAAATCTTCCCGACAGCCATTCTAGATTACTTAAGAATATGCAGCACAAAATAAAATACTTTGAAAAATGGTCCTTATTTAGAAACTTACTGCTTGAACAAGAACTTGAGCTGCTTGAACTTGAGCTACTTGAGCTTGAACTGCTTGAACTAGAACTACTAGAACTTGAACTGGAACTACTTGAACTTGAGCTACTTGAGCTTGAACTGCTTGAACTAGAACTACTAGAACTGGAACTTGAACTACTTGAGCTTGAACTGCTTGAACTTGAGCTACTTGAGCTTGAACTAGAACTACTAGAACTTGAACTGGAACTACTTGAGCTTGAACCTATGTGTATAAAGTGTATGATTAATTTTCTATAATCTATTATTCTAGACTCACAAAAATTTGTAAAAATCATTATCATTATACTAAAGATCTATTTTCATGGCAATCCTTCTGTTGCCCTAGCTTATGAAAACTTACTGCTTGAACTAGAACTGCTAGAACTTGAGCTGCTTGAACTTGAACTACTTGAGCTTGAGCTGCTTGAGCTTGAACTGCTTGAGCTTGAGCTGCTTGAGCTTGAACTTGAACTAGAGCTGCTTGAACCTATTAAAAGTGGTTATTTTACTTTTTGGGTTTAATTGAATAAAAAAAAAAACAGTGACTAAGGTAAAAAGATGGTAGACTCTTCGAATATCTTATCTTAAAAATGAAAATAATGACTGTTTCCACAAAAGAAGACTAGGGGATATGTAGTCATAGCTTATCCAGACTTACTGCAAGTACTTGAGCTGCTTGAGCTACTAGAGCTGGAGCTACTAAGAAATAAAACTACTTGATCTTGAACTGTTTGAACTTGAGTTACCTAAACTTGAACCTAAAGATTGGGGTTATAAGTTTTCTTGTCTTTAGTGAAGAAGAGGAAGTTATATCTCTCTCTACCATCTACAGTGGTGGCTGAACTAAAAGGATAATAGCCTCCTTGAAGGATATGCTATATTTAGGGTGAAAATTGTTATGCATCATGTAAAGAAAATAAGGCACTTGGTATATTTAGGGTGAAAATTGTTATGCATCATGTAAAGAAAATAAGGCACTCGGTAAAAAAAAAATAATAATAATAATAATAATAATAATAAGAAGAAGAAGAAGAAGATAAAAAAAATAATAATAATAATAAAATCTTGGAAGAAAACTAAATATTTTCCCTAAAATCAAAGACAAATTGTCATCTTAGTAGTGCAGACTTACTGCTAGAACTTGAACTACTTGAGCTTGAGCTGCTTGAGCTAGAACTTGAGCTGGAACTGCTTGAGCTAGAACTTGAGCTGGAACTGCTTGAACTTGAGCTGGAACTAGAACTTGAGCTGGAACTGCTTGAACTTGAACTAGAACTAGAACTGCTTGAACTTGAACCTATATAGATGTAAATTATATTTAACTTCATTCAAGATATGGAGAGGAAACGATATTGATAATATAAAATAACAGGCATAAAGAATCATCAGTGCACAAAAAACAAACAAACAAACAGCCATTCTAGATTACTTCTTTTTTTTTTAATATGCAGCACAAAATAAAATGCTTTAAAAATTGGTCATTATCTAGAAACTTACTGCTTGAACAAGAACTTGAGCTGCTTGAACTTGAGCTACTTGAGCTTGAACTAGAACTACTAGAACTTGAACTGGAACTACTTGAACTTGAACCTATGTGTATAAAATGTATGATTCATTTTCTATAATCGGTTATTCTAGACTCACAGTAGGGAATAATGACAAAAATGTGTAAAAATCATTATCATTATACTAAAGATCTATTTTCATGGCAATCCTTCTGTTGCCCTAGCTTATGAAAACTTACTGCTTGAACTAGAACTGCTAGAACTTGAGCTGCTTGAACTTGAACTACTTGAGCTTGAGCTGCTTGAGCTTGAGCTGCTTGAGCTTGAACTGCTTGAGCTTGAGCTGCTTGAGCTTGAACTGCTTGAACTTGAACTAGAGCTGCTTGAACCTATGAAAAGTGGTTATTTTACTTTTTGGGTTTAATTGAATAAAAAACAATGACTAAGGTAAATATATGATAGACTCTTCTAATATCTTATCTTAAAAATGAAAATAATTACTGTTTTCACAAAAGAGTCTGTTAAAAGGAAAAATCTTGGAAGAAAAACAAAATATTTATCCTAAAATCAAAGACTTGAATCGTCATCTTAGTAGTACAGACTTACTGCTAGAACTTGAACTACTTGAGCTTGAGCTACTTGAACTTGAGCTGGAACTGCTTGAACTTGAGCTTGAACTTGAACTAGAACTGCATGAACTTGAACTAGAACTTGAACCTATATAGATATAAATTTTATTTAACTTCCGATATTTTATCATTAAAGATATTAAGGAGAGGAAACGATATTGATAAGAATATAAAATAATAGGCATCAAGAATCATCAGTTAAAAAAAAAAAAAAAAAAATTCATGACACCCATTCTAGGTTACTAGAATATTAAGCACAAAATAAAATGCCTTGAAAATGGTCTTTGTTTAGAAACTTACTACTTGAACAAGAACTTGAGCTACTTGAACTGGAGCTTGAACCTACGTAAAGGGGTAATAACTAACATTTTTCCCTTGCTTTAGTGAAGTAGAGAGACTAATATATGTTTACTACATCCATCTTTAGTATGTTTAATGTACATACTAAAGATACATAATTGCCTTATGTTTATGCCAGAATTCATTGTTTTGTTTCATGTAAGTATGCTCAAAAACTTCATAGCTGCTATTGATTTTGAAGATTGTCACATTGTTGAAAGATTTTGGTGACTTAAAAGCATTCAGAGGTATGTGGTTGTTGAAAAAGATGTATAAATTATTAAATCAAAAGGATTGTTGACTGGATTCACAAAAGAGTGAATCTTGTATGTTGAAAGCAAATAGTCCATTATTCAACTGCAAATAAAAAAGGGTGTATATACAGTAGTATTCTATCATGAAGATATTATATCTGTCAGTACAGATTAAAATGTAAATGGCTTCAAATAACCTTTAAAATTTATAGGCAAATTAATTGCAGATGACCAACATCAGTTTTCTCTTTTTCATATGTGATAGCAGGGCATGGGCAGGGTACCTTTATCAGGATGTTCCCTGCGGTTTTGTAGCTACTGCAGCCAAAATAATCAGTAAGCTCTTTCTGTGTTTGTGGAACATTAAGATTTGTTCTAAAAAGTCAATACTGGACTAGAGATTATTAGACATGCTTCTTGTTAACAAATATTAGACAGAAATATCATATGGTTTTAGTAGGTCCATTTACTGCCAGAACTTATACTGCTTGGGCTGAAGCTACTAAGAGTTTAAACTAGAACTGAAACTGCTTGAATCTGAATTAGAGATTGAAACTATGTATGGTTACTTCTCTCTCGCATGGATGAAGAACAATGAACAATTATGCAACCAAAAAAACTGCTTGAAATGGAACTACTTGAACATGAGCTACTAGAGCTAGAACTGTTTGAACTTGAGCCTATGAAAAAAAAATGTCATGGCAGTTTTCTTTTCATAACTGAAGAGAAAAAAATGAAGGGTTGTTTTTTAGAATGGTAACCGAGCTAAATAGATGGCAACTTCTTTGAAGGATGTGCGATTTTCAGAATTTATAGTTCCTGCAAAGAAAATCTCGACTCAGATAATATTTTCGTAGCAGGTCCAAACTTACTGCTAGAACTTGAACTGCTTGAGCTCGAGGTACTAGAGCTTGAGCTACTTGAACTTGAGCTAGAGCTACTTGAACTTGAGCTGGAGCTACTTGAACTTGAGCTACAGCTACAAGAGCTGGAACTGCTTGAACTTGAACTGGAGCTTGAACCTATATATATATATAGATTATGATTAACTTTCTGTCTTCTGTTATTAAGTTTCTGTATCGAGGTATAATGATGATAAGCAAAGCAAATCATGAGCAAGAAGAATCATTATCTTCACTTCAGTTCCTATGGGTTACTAATAAGAAACATGAATGAAAAATCCTTATCATCACATCTTCACAGTATTCTTGTTTAGTTACAGATTTGAATTATAAATCCACAAAAAGGAGAGAAAACGAGGTTAAACAAAGTCTAAGCCTGCAAAGACATACTGCTTCAGCTGGAACTATTTGAATTTGAGCTACTGGAGCTTGAATTGCTTGAACAGCAGCCTGTTATAACTAACAGGTCTCTGTGCTTAACCCAGCAAGCGGAGGTGACAAAACTACAATGCTATGCCCACTGTACTAAAAGTCTTATCTATTGTCTTTATACACAGGTGGCTGTACCAGTGCTTAGTCACCAAGGAGTCAGGTATTAGTCTTACTTATAACATCTGTTACATCTTTTCCATTTTTGAAAGCTTCACTTCTATTAATTTATTGTCTTTGACCTTATTAATATTTTAATAACAATTTAATGATCATAATATCAATAAGAATGATAACAATATCA